CACGGTTAATCATTTTCATAAATAAGAAAAAAATTTCTATAATGTATTTTTAAATAATTGGTCAACTTTATGTCAATAATTAAGTAACTGACACTTATTATAGAATATTCAATGTAAAATAGGTTGTTAGGTTGCCAGGAATCAATTTTATGTAGTGCGAAAAATACCTTGGTCTACTGTATTCTTTTTAGGAATGTAAAAATAGAAAATATTTCTAAATTTTTCATTACCTTCCTTACATTTATATAGCTTTGTCAATTGTCTTGTCAACTTACATCATTGGTACAGTAATTTAAAATTTAAAAAGGTATTTGTGGGGCCTATTTATTAGACTAAATTTCAGTAAAAATTAAAAATTTAGGCTGAGTGCTGATATGGCTCACACCTGTTATCCTAGCTACCCAGGAAGCTGAGGGATCACAGTTGGAAAACAACCTAAGAAGGAAAGTCCATGAAACTCTTATTATCATCAACTAATCACAGAAAAAGCCAAAAATGGCACTGTGGCTCAAGTTATAGAGTGTCAGCCTTGAGCAAAAAGAGCTCAGTGACGGTGCCCAGGCCCAGGCCCAGAGTTCAAGCCCCAGGACCAGCCCCTTCCCACCCCACCCCCACCCCTGAAAAAAAAAGATTAAAATGCTCCAAATTATTACCATCTTTTTTTTTTTTTTTAAACCAGTTCTGGGGCATGAATGCATGAACGCGTCCCTTGCTCAAAGCTAGCACTCTATCATTTGAGCCACAGTACCATTTCTGGCTTTTTCTTATTTATGTGGTACTACTGTGTAATCTTTTGGTCAGTTGTGGGGCTTGAACTCTGGACCTTGGTTCTGTCCTTCAGCTCTTTAGCTCAAGGTGAGTGCTCTACCACTTGAGTTACAGCACCACTTCCAATTTTCTAGTGGTTAATTGGAGATAAGAGTCTTACGGACTTTATTGCCCGGGCTGGATTTGAACCGTAATTCTCGGATCTCAGCTTGTTGAGTAGCTATGATTATAATAGGCATGAGCCACCAACCGCTCCCACAAGTTTTTCAAACAACCTGATGCCACAGTTGATACTCATAAGGAATGCTGAAGAGTGTGTGTGACACCCGGCCCAAGTTAAATTTTTTTTTGGTGGGGGGGGTCCAGTAGTGGGCCTGATCTCTGGGCCTGGGCACTGTCCCTCAGCTCTTCACCTCAAGGCTAGCCCTCTCTTGAGCCACAACGCCACTTCCAGCTTTTTTTTTCTGCTTATGTATGGTGCTCTGGAATCGAACCCAGGGCCTCATGCATGCAAGGGAAGCACTCTACCACTGAGCCACCTTCCCAGCCCCCAAATTAAATTTTTTAACCTTATCAATTGTACTGTACTGTATTGCGTCCTCAGAATATTGTATAAAATTTACATTCTCATTCTGATCATTCTTGGATCACAATGTCAGTGGAATCCTGTGATTGTTTTATAAGATAGAGTGAATTTCTGTAGTTGTATCAGCATTTCTGAACTTTTCTACTGTAGATGGCCCTAAACATCAGTACTCCAGATCTCAGCCTCCTGAATAGGAAGTCCAGCTCTCTTTGCCTTCCCACCCCTGTAATACTGGAAATTGAGTTCAGGGCCTGGTACATGCTAGGTAACCATTACAACACTTGAAGCATGACTCCAGTTGTATTAGCATAAGATTCATTCATTCATTCATATTACATACATTAATACATACATAGATATGTACATACTGTCTTTTATCCTGTGGTTGTGTTTCTATTATGCAACTTCTCAAAGCTTACAGGAAGATCATTTTACTGTTCTACACTTAGATTTTACAGAAGTGGAAATTTTATAAAATGACAAATTTATATGACAATCAACAAGTTACTACGTCTTCACTGTAGCATCATAATTATCTTTTATTAATTTTCTGAGTAACCTTCATATAACCTTCCTGTAATGTCATAGTATAATGATTAATACTTTTGAAAAGGTGAGTCTCTTTAATGTACCATCTTGCATTTTTTGTTAACACTTGTGTCTAGATTTCAATGTCAAAAAGCCTTTTTTCTATGCCTATTCTATTTGCTCTCCTGTGTTTACTTTGGTCATTTAGTCACTGCCCAGCTAGCTCTTTGCTGTAGCCAGTGTCGTGTTGATGATGCATCAACATTATTTTAATTTTCACAAGAAGTCAGTTATGTTTTTCAGTAGAATTTAAATTTTTATTAGATCAGTTCATGCCTTTTCTTGTATATAGTACCATATTCACCTGGTATATCTCTAGAGATTTAATACTAAACCAGATCTGAAAGGTAAGTGTTTAGTGATGACCTTTTTTTTCCACATTGTTGAGTAATCTTTCACTGTTTTTGTACTTCCTTATACTACATACTTTTTTCCCTGCAAAAACAACAAAGATCCAAGATACAAGTTTATATGAAAGTATTTCATAATGTGTGATATGAGAATGGAAAGCATTTTTTAGAATTAAAGTTCCTCTGTACCCTGATGAAACATGTATTAAAACCATCTTAGAAAGTTGTTTTTTTTACTTTTCTCCAATAACGGAAATTCTGATTTACATTACAGTGATACGAATTTTGTGTTTTTTAATAAAAAATGCTTTTATTATAAAATGAATATAAACATGATCAAACTGTAGGAAATGTGAAAGCATCATTGTATGTTCATGTATTACCTTTCTAATTATTTTTCTTAATATGTAAAGCATAAATCCAATTCATATTGACAGTTATTCTGATAATTGTATTAATATTTAAATACATGACATGTCATATAGTTTAGATTTCATGAACTAGAAGAAATGCTTATTTATGGTGTGCATTTTTTGTTTTTATTTTATTCTTGTTTTTAGTATCATTTTAATACATTTTAACCTATTGGTCAGTTGTCATTTTTCATATAATAATATGTGTAAGTACTTATAATATTAAAAACATATTACAGTGATAATTACCTTAATTTACTTAATTATTACTTTTTGACCAGTCCTGGGGCTTCAGATCAGGGCCTGAGCACAGTCCCTGAGCTTCTTTTGCTCAAGGCTAACACTCTACCACTTGAGCCACAGTGCCACTTCTGGCCTTTTCTGTTTATGTGGTATGGAGGAATCAAAGCCAGGGCTTCATGCAGGCTATGCGTGCATTCTACCACTAAGCCATATTCCTAGCCTGCTTAATTATTTTTAGGGATATTTATATTGTTTCAAATTTTTATTACATTTTCTGATAGTATGAACAACATTCATGTAACAGTTCTTATCATTTGGATTACTTTCTAGGATCATGTTCCCAAAATAGAAGTTTACAATAATAAGATATAAGCAATGTGACTTGTGGTAAATATTGTCAAATTATGTTTTAAAAGACTTCCCTCACCGATAATGTGTAATTGTGTCACCTTTCTCACATCCCTGGATATCCTGAACATTATAATTTTTAGATGAAACTGCTCTCTTTTTATGAGTTTGACTACTAATAAGTGGGGGTCATCACTTTTCACCATTTGTGTATCATAAGTTTTTTCTTCATTGTTTATGTGTCACTTTTCCTGAGACTTTTTTTTCTTGTTTTTAAGATAGTATCTTGCCAGGGTTCAATTTTTCCTAGGACATGCTAGGCAGTCCAGACTTGAGATACTCTACCTCAGTTTCATAGTATGCTGTTATGTGTCTGTGCTACCATGTCCAGCTTTAAGCCTTAATTTTTTTTCTTTTTCACATAGTTGTACAGGGAATTTCAATTTAATGTGTTTGCCTGTGTATTATGGTACAATGCTTTTTTCCCCCTTCTTGGGTCAGTACTAGGATTTGAACTCAAGGATTTGATCTCTTGCTTAGGTATTTTGCTCCTAGCTAGTTGATACCATTTGAGCCATGCTTCTAGTTTAGCTTTTTTGCTGGTTCACGTATAACAACAGTTCCAGAATTGTCTGCTTAGGTTTGCTTTGAACCACCATCCTTAAATCTCAGCCTCCTGAACTGAATATCTAGGATTACCGGCATAAGCCACCATTGCCAGCTTGGGTTCTGTGTTTTGTTCTAAACTTCAACTATCAATATATTTAAAACAATCTCTTTGTTTTTGGTTGTGGGGCCTGAACTTGGCCTGGTCGCTGTCCCTCAGCTCTTCAGCTCAAGGCTAGGGCGCCACCACGTGAGCCACAGTGCCGCTTCCAGCTTTTTCTGCTTATGTGGTGCTGAGGAATCAAGCCCAGGGCCTCATGCTTGTGAGGCAAGTACTCTACCACTGAGCCACCTTCCCATCCCCCGTTACATACTTTTTAAGTGGATGAATTATATAGTTTGTAAATTATGTTTTGAAGCTATTAGAATAAAAATAGAAAGGAAGGAAGAAAAAAGAATTGAATAAAGGGGGATGGGAGAAAAGAGGAGAGAGGGAGAAAGGGGTTGTTGTAAAAAGAGGGGTATTCAGTAACTTCCAGTAAAGTGGAAGTTGATGAGTTCCTACTCTGGTTATTTTACATAGTGTTTCAAATTGTTTTATTGGCTGGTTTTATTAAATTAGATTGATATTTAGTAGGATGGGGAAGAGGAAGTATATATGTACTTCATCGTTTGTCTTCAAGCATGGGGTTATTATTGTAATGCTTCTTAACACTGATTTTGAGCATTGCAATAATAAGCAGCAGTTTTCTGTAGAAAACTTATTTACTTGAAATGAGAAAGAAGATACTGGTTTCAGTATGTTTGCTAGTAAATGTAATTTTGACATTGCTGTTCTGATTTTGAGTAACCAAATTTGCCACATATGACCTTGTTTAATGTAATTGTTCATAGCGTAAATTCTTATTGTTCATTTATAAAAAAAATTAATATGGACAGTTAGCACACTAGTTGTACTTTAATTCATTTATTTAACATAATTACATAAACTAAAAGTTCTACCAACTATATTTACGTGCTTCTAATTAGAAAAAAAACTTGCATGTGACAACAGTCAAAAACTAACTTAGTTTTTTTAATACTGTGATTTTCTTACAGGTTTGACGAACTTGTAAAAAAATTCCAAGTTGAGTATCATGCTGGTGGCTCTACCCAGAATTCAATTAAAGTGGCTCAGGTTGGTTAATATTTTTTAAATTAAAGAGAAAAAGATTTAAAATGATTCTCTAAACTTGTATTAATTTTATAAATGTAATTGTTTCAATCTGCATTTTATTGCTATAGGAAAATGTTTTTTTCATTTCAGATTGGGAATTAAGTCATTAGCTATCTAGTAAACAAAAATTATTTTAATTCATCATTATTAAGTTTCAGTATCTTTCTTTTTCTTTTTGTTGGTTGTGGGCCTGAACTCTGGGCCTGGGCGCTTTCCCTCAGCTCTTCAGCTCAAGGCTAGTGCTCTACCACTGAGCCACAGCGCCACTTCTGCCTTTTTCTGCTTATGTGGTACTGAGGAATCGAGCCCAGGGCCTAATGCATGCAAAGCACTCTACCACTGAGCCAGCCACCTTCCCAGCCCTTCAGGATCTTTTAAGAAGATAATTTACATTTCTTTATTTCCTGTATTCATTTACTTATTTTATAATTTTTACATGTTATTTTGTAGAAATTCTTCATATTTTATTAGCTTATTAATTATCTTATAAATTATTCATAAATTAGAAATGTTTACTCATTGTATGTCAATGGTTGTTTACTTTTTCTCCCAAAAGTTTTTATTGTAAATAATTATATCCTTATTAGCTTAGTTATATCACAAATGAACATATAGCAGCCTTATATTGTGCCTTTGATTGCTCTATGTAACTAAGTTACATATAAATTATTACATGAAATTACATTTCATGAATCAGAACTTTCACAGAAGGTTCTTCTGTGGAAAAACCAATGGGAATTTCTTGATAGTAAATGTAGACTTTATAATATAGAATCCTATCTGTAGCCGGGCGCTGGTGGCTCACGCCTGTAATCCTAGCTACTCAGGAGGCTGAGATCTGAGGATCGCGGTTCAAAGCCAGCCCGGGCAGGAGAGACTGTGAGACTCCTATCTCCAATAAACCACCAGAAAACCGGAAGTGGTGCTGTAGCTCAAGTGGTAGAGTGCTCGCCTTGAGCTGAAGAGCTGAGGGACAGCGCCCAGGCCCAGAGTTCAAGCCCCATGACTGACAAAAGAAAAAAAAAAGAATCCTATCTGTAATATATTACCAGTAATTAAACATATATATCAAATAATGGACTCAAATGAAGAAAGATTTTTCCAAAGCACCTAGGTATTTTAATTTGTTGAATCTTGAAAATTTTAACAAAACGATGGGCCTATATGACCAATAAATATGTATTTGACAGACAGTAGAGAAACAAATTTTCACAAATTCTGTTTTGTCTACACTTCCTAATAATGTAAAAAAGTGACTTTATTTGTTAAGGAGCCTGCATACCTTGCATATAACACTACTAAAAGGGGGATTGCGTTGTTTGCTTGTAATATTGATGCTTTCAGAGTAAACATTTTTTGGTCAATTTCCAGTTTTTATCAAATGTACAGTCATTTAAGGTGAATTTTTTTTCTGGAAAGAAAAATATTGCCTTGGTTGGGTATATTACTAAGAGATGATTATCATTATTGCTGTATAAAAATTCCTTGCAACAAAATATTATCAAAACTTGGAGCAAAAGGAAGATATTCTCTATTTAATACAATGAGGATTCTAATGGGAATACAATAAAAAGTAGAGATTTACATGCTGTTTCTTCCCAAGTATTTGATAATATTTGAAGAGACTGTGAAGAAGCTAGAAGATATACAACAACAACATCTTCATTTTTATGCCAGAAGACTGCTTCAAAAGCCAAGAAAAGTCATAAAGAATTTTCTCAATTCTTTTAACTAAACTGTAGTTTGTTTGCAATCTACTTGTTGGCATCACAAACTTTCATTACCTTTGTGCTTTAAAATCATTTCTGTGATAAAAGTAAGTTTAACTTAGGATGATGTCCACTGTTTTTAAATGATGGACATTTTAAGTATGAATAAACTTATATAATCAATCTTTAAATACAAAGAACATAATTCATATAGTCAAAATAAGAAAAAGGCACAAAGTACACGGATGGCTTTTAGAGCTAAAATTTTTTAGCATTGTAGAACATTTTAGAGCATTTTAGAGCTAAAATGTTCCTAAGCAGCAGTGTTGCTATTATGTAGAATCTTGTGTATTCCCTGGTTACATGCTTTCAACCAGAGAATATTTAGTTTAATATCATAATGGCCTGATACTAACAATGTGAATTTGATAATTACAAATTGTTGTGTTTTTTTTGTTTTTTTTTTTTTGTTTTTTGGGTCCAGTCGTGGGGCCTGAACTCTGGGCCTGGGCGCTGTCCCTCACCTCTTCAGCTCAAGGCTAGTGCTCTACCACTTGAGCCACAGGGCCACTTCCAGCTTTTTTCTCTTTGCTTATGTGGTGCTGAGGAATCGAACTCATGCACGCAAGGCAAGCGCTCTACCATTGAGCCACCTTCCCAGCCCACAAATTGTTGTTTTACTTTGATTATATTGACTTTTACCACATGTAAGAGAAGAATAACCAAATGGTTCTAGTCAGATAATTATTATTGGAAAGGAAACAGTAATAAAACAGTATAAAACAGAAACACTTTATTTGGGTAGATGTTAGAGTACTTCTCCAGCAAGTTCCAAGCACTGAGTTCAGTTCCTACTCAGTACTGAAGAAAAAAAATGAAAACAGAAAGTAGGGGAGGAGGAATTTTAAAAATTAAATACTTCTAAAATCTATTTAGCACAATCAACCATACTTATGCTCTTAAAATATTTCAATTTATTTTAAAAATATCTAATATGATCCTTAAAATATAATTATCAAAGAGTTAAGAAATGTTAATATAAGTTGCAGTGTTTATTTTAATGAAAGAAACATAAACATTGTTTTATTTTCTCACACATACTGGTTTCTTTTATTCTATTACTACTTATTTCCACTAATAGCTAGTCCTATTCTTTTAATTAAATAATAGCATTTATATAACAAGTAAATAATGGAGAGTAATATAATTATAAATAAATTCTGCACTAGTTTGCTTGGGCTGTCATAACAACATACTGGAGACACAGTATGATATTATGAAAAAAAGAAACCAGATGTATTTTATTACAATTCTGGAAACTAGAAATGAAGTCCAAGAATAGTGTCAGCTGCTTCTTGGCCTACAGATGGCCACTTTCTTACTGATGTTCACATAGTTGATTCTCTGTGCATGTGCATTCCCTGAGTCTTTCTGTGTATCTAATTGGATTAAGATCCACTATTATGTTATCAGTAACTTAATTATCCTGCTTAAATGCCTATCTCTACATTTGTTCAACATTTTGGGGTGTTTGGGGTTTTTTTTTTTGTTGGTTGTAGGACTTGAACTCTGGGCCTGGGTGCTGTCCCTCAGCTCTTCAGCTCAAAGCTAGTGCTCTACCACTTGAGTCACAGCACCACTTCTGGCTTTTTCTGTTTATGTGGTGCTGAGGAATTGAACCCAGGGCCTCATTCATGCGAAGCAAGCACTCTACCAGTGAGCCACCTTCCTAGTCTAGAGTTTTGATAGTATGTTATTTTGACTCTTTTTTTCCCTTTCCGGTAGTCCCTCCTCTCCTTCCCTTTCTTCCTTTCTTCTCCCTCTCTTCCTCCTGCCCTCCCTATCTCCTTTCCTTCCTTTATTTTTTCATAGTACTTGATTTTATTTTACAGCCTTGAACTTGCTAGGCCAACTCTACCAAATGTTTCATGTCACAGCTCTTTTTCCTCTGGTTATTTGTGAGATAGGGTCTAGCTTTTTTCCCAAGCCAGCTTGAAATGTAATCTTCCTATTTACCCTTTCACCATAGCTGAGATGAAAAGGGTATATCACTATGCCCCGCTTTTTGAGTTGAAGTTTGGTTTCACAAAGAATTGTCTCCTAGAACTATACAACTATGATCCTTTTGATGTCAGCCTCCTACATAGCCAAGATGTGTATCCCCAGTGTGCTTGGCTATTGATTGAGATATTCAGGTCTTGTGAACTTTTTATTAGACTAGCCTTGAACCAAAATCTTCCCGATCTCCAACTTTGTGCTGCAAGTACTGAACTCTTTCTTCTTCTTTCTTCCCTCCTTCTCTTCCTCTCTTTCCTTCTTTCCATTTTGGCAGTATGTGGATTTAAGCTCAGTTCCATGCACTTGATAGACAGGGGTTATACCACTTGATCAATATCTCCAAGCCCAGGGTTTTTTTTGGTGGGGGGGTTCGCTTTTGTTTTGTTTTGTTTTTTGGTAAGTATTGGGCCTAGGCATTGTCTCTTAGCGTTTTTGCTCAAAGCTCCACCACTTTGAGGAAAGAATCGAATCTACTTTCCTGCCCACGCTGGCTTCTAACTCTGACTCTCAGATCTCAGGCTTCTGAGTAACTAGAATTACAGGTGCAAGTCACATGCCTGGCCTCCAGATTTTCTTTCTTAATCAAATATTTATCACCACCAATAATGGATTTGAATTTTATTTCTCCAACATTAAAGACTGAGGTTTATCTCTTGAATTATTAGATCCCTTTTTCACTCATATAATTCTTCACCTTTTGTTTAGTCACTGATTTTTCAGTCTTCATTTCTTAACTTTCTTAGACAATCCTCCATAGTCTTTAATGTATAGTGAAATTTTAACCAGTTTTTGTTTTTTCCTTAGTAAGTTTTTGGCTCACGTAGTAGCATATTTCACATAGTATCAACTTAAAATTCAGAAATGGTTTAAGTAAGCTAGAATAGCATTGAACCAAAACTTATAAAGCTAACATTGCAAAAACTATTTAGCATTTCCAAACGAGTAATACTGTGTAGAAGTTAAATTTAGAAGTAGAAATAATATTTCTGATAATCCCTTTTGTGATCTATCTGACCTAGGGATTTAAAAAGCTTTTTAAGAGACATACATACACCTGTAAATCAAGGAGCAGACTAGTCTAGACTACTTAGATTATAAAAGAAGAAATGGCATCTGAATGATCTAAGAGAAGGCTCTATTCTAATGCATTACACCTGGAATAGTTGTAGAAATGTCAGTAGCACATCGGTATTT